AATATAAACTATTAAATTAAATCAATTATTGTGTTTTTATATGTACAAAAGAAATGATTATTAATTATGGACTTTATGTATTAGAGAAATTCAAAAACACAGAGGGGAAAATACTCTTTAGGACAAAATTAATTTTTTTAAGGGAGCAGATTTAAAGTTTAAAGAAAAACATTAGAAGTAGAAGATAGGGGGCAGCGTGATGACATGGCAGGAATGATGAAGCTAGGAGACCACTACTGGTTGGCATGACTCAAGCTGTACTTTATCCTGGGCATCTAGTTAGCTATTAGCATTAAGACATTGCTCAGACAACTCTCTAACTATGCCCTGGTTTCCACAATTGGTAAACTCCCCTTCATAGGATTTTAGTGAAGATTCAGGGAAGACGAATGAAGCACATAGAATAGTGCCAGCCCTCTAGTCAGCGTTTACAAAGTGTTGAGTATGCAATTATATAGTAATTTATCCTAACAGATAGAGTGTCTTTTTTTATGGATATGAAGATGTAATTTTTATTTTTTTATTTTAAATTAATATGAGGGTACAAATTTTTAGGTTACATTGTTCTTACTTCCCTGGTAAAGTTCAAGTTGTAGTTAAGCGTTTCACCCTGAGCTCCACCCTTCATGCTGGGAGTGTGCTGAACACCCTCACATTGTGCACATTAGGTGAGATCCCACCAACTGCCCTCCCCCTTCCCTCCAGTAGCCCTCCCACTCTTTCACCTCTCCCCTCCTTTTGCACTCCCTTCAGTAGACTGTGTTTTATTGTACATGTAGATGTGCAATTGTTTACATATTGGTTTCATATTAGTATTGAGTACATTGGATTTTGTTTCCTATTCTTGAGATATTTTACTAAGAAGGATGTGTTTCAACTCCATCCAGGTAAACATAAAGATATAGAGTCTTCAACTTTTCCTATGACTGAATAGTACTCCATGGTATACATACGCCACAGTTTGTTGATCCATTCAAGGAATGATGGGCATTTGGCTTGCTTCCACAACTTGGCAATTATGAATTGAGCTGCAATAAATATTCTGCTGCAAATGTCTTTGTGGTAAAATGAGTTTTGTTCTTCTGGGTATATACCTGGTAATGGAATTGAAAGACCAAATGGAAGGCTGAATTTTAGAATTCTCCATACTTCTAAAAGGTTGTATTAGTTTGCAAACAATCAGCAGTGCAAAAGTGTTCTCTCCACATCTATGACAATCCAGTTTTGAGACTTCGTGACGTGGGCTAATCTTACTGAAGTTAGGTGTTTTGATTTGCATTTCTCTCATCATTAATAATGATGGGGATTTTGTTTGACGGCCGTTCATCCTAACTGATTAGTTTTCAAATAATCAAAAGGCAATGACTGGAGAACTGGAATCTCTCATATCCACTCCATAGTGTTCCCTATATTATTCCCTGCAAGTGTTACTTAGAACATATGAATTTAACACACTGTGATTCCAATACAGTAAAAGTGAGCTCAAATTGCAGTATAAAAACCATGGATTAATACAAGTTAGAGAATTTCTATTTGCTTTGGTAAGTCTGTCTCTCCTGTGACTGCTATCCCCTCTGTGGCCCCTGCAGAATGAGGACTATAAGCAAAACCACAGCATTTCCACTATTTTACAAATTATCATTTTTAATTTTGTACTTTTGAAATTGGTTTAGATGAACACCTAAAGGTCTCTGAGATGAGGTTTGGAGGTTTCTTACTTTCACTACCTTTTTCTTGGCTCACCAACAATTTTATATGCACTGGCTTTGAACAGGCCCCTTGCATTCATTCCAAAGGTGCAGCTTCTGATATGTGAGAGCTTGCAGATCTCTTCAGTAAAATAAAATACTGAAGTCTGTTTATTTGTCTTGTTGAAGTACCAGTGAATTAAAAGCCGACTATTTTGACTTCAGGTTATCTATTTATGGTCTGCAATAGAGGAAATCATTTGAGTATTCTGGGCTTGTTACCTGGAAAATGAAGTTAGACTAGATGAAAAGTTTTAACTCAAGGTTATATAGATAGGGTCTGCATACGTGGAGAGGGAATTTCTTTCTAGACTTTAACTGAAATTTAGCTTTTCATTCATTTGTAGGCAAAAATACACCTTAAAATTTGTGATATTTTTGTTTTTCATCAGCAGAAATAATAGAAATTTTCATATTAACAATTTATTTAGTGGAGAGATCTTTAAGTATCTTTTGATATCATTATGATTTTAAAAAATTGAATAGATACAGAAATATAGCAAGACTTGTTACATAATGTATTACTAAAGAAACATATGAATTTCTTTAGCATAAGCTTACATAAATATGTTGAGAACTATATTTTAATATAAATAGATTCCTTTGTAATCATATTTATTTTTTTTATTTATGAATTTTATTTAGAAAAGAAGGCTATAGGTTTCACCAGGCTACAAGAGGTGCCAGTGATACAAAGATGTTTGGGACCTTGGACTATATTGATGTTTCTCAAAATCTTTTACATAGACCATTCTTGGTCCATGAAGGTTATCTAAAATGATCACTAATAGATTGAACAATGGAAATTATTTCTTTGTTATAGCAGAATGATACATCAGAATAATATGACTTTTTAATAGAAGACTAAGCATTAATAACAAGGAACCTTTTACAAGTTCATAGTAAAAATTTCTACAACTAAAGATTTGTTAACTAAAGGTAATGTGATTTGGATTTGCTGAAGACACTAGTATCTGGTTGCCATGAAATTGCCTGGTAGTGTTTAGATATCCCTGAAAATAGCAAAATTTGAGTTTCTAAAGAAGACACATTTTCAGTGCTGCAAAACTCCTATCTCGTGTTGGTCATGGTTTTTAATTGCTGCTTTTCTAATTGCACACACAGAATTACTCTTGGATGTAATTTGAGTATCATTTGGGAATGTTTTATTAATTATTGCACTGTTACCATTTGATTATTTTGTTCTTCTTTTATCCTGTTATTATTGGTTAGTTCTTTACCCGCTAGAAATAAGAGCATTCAGTGGTAGGTAGACCTAAGAGTCCTTTACACGTAAGAACTTCTCCCCAAAATTTTGAGAACTGGGAAATTAGTTAATTATTTCTAGTCCTTTCTTTTCTTATTTCAGATTAATGTGAGGGTACAAATGGTTAGATTACATTGTTTGCTTTGGTTAAGTAAAATCCAAGTTGTAGTTGAGCCGTTCACTCGGGGGTGTGATGTATACTCTTACATGGTGCTCATAAGGTGAGAGGTGGTAATCCCCGTTCCTCCTCCCCCTCTCCTCTCTCTCCTCCTTTTCCCCCCACTTGAATTTAACTATATTTTTCTCTCATAACAGCATGTAATTGTTTACATATTGGTATCATATTAGTATTGAGTACATTGGATACTTACCTTTCAATTCTTGTGATACTTTACTAAGGAGAATGGTCCTCAACCCCATCCAGGTTAATCCAGAAGATGTAAAGTCACCACCTTTTTATGGCTGAATCATATTTCATGGTATACATGTATCACAGTTTGTATTGTTATTTCTTTTAATTTTGTCTAATTTTTTACTCTATTCTGCTCTATTCTAGACTGTTTTGTTCTATTCTAATCTAGTCTTAAGTAACGGGATAGTAAATTGGAAGTTTAAGCCAAGATTCTAACATGACAATGTCAAAAAACAAACTGATTTATGAGACAGGAATTTCAAAGTGGATTCAAAGCCAGTTATAGGATGCTTAACACTCGCAGCAAATACAAACAAATGAAAGGGTCAGATTGCTGAGGCTGAAAAGGGATCTCTTAAAAAAAATAAAGGATCTCTTCAGTATCTTTAAAGATATCTTTGTGGTTAGGAAAGGTATATAGATACTCCCTTCTTTACCTCAAATCAAGGAAAGAGAGCTTCACTAGGACCCTTGGAGAGATCAAAGTTAAGGGGATATTGAGAATGGAGAGAGCCGAAGAGCTAGATGGTGACAGATGGTCCAAAGGCGAGAAGGCTGTGTAGGGGTTTTCTTCAAGTAATTTATGAGAACAAACGCCTCACGAATGTTTCATGTGCATCAAGTGACATTTTGATCCTGGCAAAGAAGATACATTTTCCCCCATTGAATATATTTTAAAGAGACGGTGGGAGGCAACATAAATTTGCTTTGTAATAACACCCTATCAGTTAGTTCTGTATGTTCTCTGATTATATAACCTCCATAAAAACCTACTGCAACTGAGTTAACACAGACCTACAATAAAGAAATTATGTCAAGTTAATTAGTGCAAAGTTTGTTAGAATATCTTCAATCAAACTTCACACAGAAAGAACATTCCATCAAAGATGAATATTTTCTAAAATTTCAAGGTATTTTGAGTAACTAACCCCCCAAATTAATTTCCATTTTGTTTACTTCGTTTCTTATGTAATAAGATTCTTAGCTGTACATTTAGCTTTATTTTTCTATTTTCATAGATTCTGTATAACATTTTTCATGCTACCATTTTATTTTTCTTCGAAGTTTCTACAGAAGCTAAATGACTCCCAGATTATAAAGTTCATGGGTTTTGATAGATTATGTCTTTTCTTAAACATTACAATTTTCTTGTACTCATTTGTTTTAAATTCATCGCAACTAACCAATGTGTGACAAAAGACACTGATCATTAGGGAATTTGTTAAAAGAAATTTGTTTCAATTAAAAATATTCAGGGAAAACATGCCTAATTTTTAGATGTGATTTAATAGATATTTAAGCATTTTTTATCTGTTTTACCTCTTTTTGTATTCTCAGATTAAGTTGCAATTGCCAAAATGTATATTACCACCGGAAGACAACTTGTTATATTCTATTGATCCACAGGCTGAAAAGAAAATGTTTGTTATCTTTGGGAAAACATACTACAAATCCATTGTAAAATCCAGTATTCCACACTTTACAAATTGCTTCAAATCTCCTAACCTTACTGGGTTTTTTTCAAAGGCTTATTTTGGTTTTCGTGTGTTTGTTTCCTTGGGTTTTCTTTTAGGTGAACCAGATCTTCTTAAGAACTCAGAAGACTTAGTAAATGCTGAAGAAAAACATGCTGATACACGTCCGTAGGTCGGAAAGACCTTAATGGCTTCTGTCATTTTAAACATGAGAGGTAATTTATTTTCTAGACAAGAAACCTTATTTCTAAAATAAATGGTTTGTAGCATGCTATTAGAAGCAAAGTCATCTTATTTAAATGCTCTCCTGGATACTTTAAAAAATATATCTTCAATCTTTTGAGGTAAAACCTTAACAGGTAAACTTTAAATATTGAACTTTCAAAGAACTCTTAATTTACTCATCAATAAAAATTATACTCACTGAGACTAAAGTTTTAGTTCTTTAGAATTAATAAGCTATGATGCGGGGGGAGCTTTAATTCTCATTTCTGTAGGAAATATGAATATTTTAGACTGATTTCTTCTTTTATTTCACATAAGAAATACCAGGAATAAAAACAAAGCAAGGGCATATTAAGTAGCAAATATCATGTTCCCTAAAATCTATGGACATGAGTATTAGTGGTTCTCTTTCAAAAATTCAGCCTTGAAGGTTTGTCTCCAATCTATGAAATTATTATAACTCTGGGAGTGCTGCCTTGGAAATGTGAACTTTTGATAACCCTGTCTGTCACCATTTCTGCCATCTAGGATTGAGAACCTCTGTCTTGCATGTACAAAGGAGGTGCAGGCAGTTATAGAAAGGAAAGGTGTATTTATAGTGGAGATGTCTTGATGTTTCCTAAATAAATGTAAAGAACAAAAACTAAGCATTATAAGGAGTCTTGGTGTTGAGGAGGTAGTGGGGGTAAATGCTTTGGGTACCATATGAAGCCTTTGTGATGCCATCACCAGCCCATAAATGTTGCTTTAAGAGAGTTAAACTGTGATTAGCTTTTAAGATGATTCCTTCCTCACTGTTTTTGAATAACAAGAACAGTTACTTGTAAGACTATCTTCTATTCATAATAATAGTTTTGTTAATAGCAACTATAAAGTGTCAAAGATGGTGTTGAACATCTTGCATGTAAACTAGTCCTCTCAGCAATTCCAGACTTAGTGAGTGTGATTCCTATTTTATAAATAAAGCTTGGAAAGAAATCAAGACACAAAATGGCTGTTCGGCAACTGAAACCCATCTCTGTATTTAACATTTCCACTGCGTTGTAGTATGTTGTCTCGTAATAACTACAGAAATTTCTCTCCCTACTCTGCATCTAAAGATAAATGTATTACCTTTAGAGCCCATAGTCATTCTGGAAAAGAGTTTGGGTGATATATGATAATATATGACAGAACCCCTGAAACATATTTTAGAGAAAACTAATTCAGTGGAATATTTATAAATGTGTTTTAAGTAACAAAAAGTTGCATTGGCAAATAAGCATCATTAAAAAAATGAGACAAAATTAAGCAAGATTCTTTCCTGTAGGACATAGGCAGTATAAACTATATGTGCTTTCAAAGAAAAAACAAAACCTTTAGGATCAGTACATCCTAACCATTCATGATATGGATTGGAATATGTATGAATCTTTTTCAAAAACTTTTGTGTAAGGAACACATATCATTAATAGATTTGTAAAAATTACTGTTTGTTATGTGAAAATATCTAAGGATAGATAGATAAGGCCATTAATAAAGTATCTTTTTCTTTTTTTTTCAACTAAAAAGACCCCAACACTGGAAAAGTTTGTGACCCAGTCAAACTAAACATGATATTCAAACCCCAGTAGATGGCTTGCCACATTCTATCAAGACCAACTCAACCCTTTAGCTTCCTTCTCAGTTTGAGAAAGCCCTGTGTGTGGTACACGATGTTGCAGGAAACGGGGCTTTCCTTCTGTAGGTGAAGTTCAGGTGCCTTCACGGGACAGAAAGGTGCTTTAAAGGAGGGACGTGGGCAGGATCTGAAAACAACAGGAGTGTAACAATTGGCAACTGTGATTCAAGTGTGGTGTGGGGGAGACAAGAGCAGCCATCAGTCTCAGAAACAGAGACTCACCCAACAACCTGAAGGCTGTAGCCAGCCACTCTTTTTGGCTCGGGAAGATTTGCACCATGAAAGAAGTGAGTGCCCACTGTTTCCAGGTATTTGCAGTGATTAAGAGAGGATTTTTTTCTTTTTGCTATTGTTTCAGATTCATTGAAGGTACAAAGAATTAGGTTATACTGATTGCACTTGTCAGCATTGCACCTCTAATAATTGTGTCCCATTCCCAAGAGTTGTGCCATATGCCATAACTCCCCAAGAGAGGTTTTTTTTTTTTAATGTAAAATAAGTCAATTTTTTTATGTTGGCTCAAAGTTGTTTGAAACGCTGTTTGGACCAGACAAAAATGTGTCCATGGGCTGAATTTGGCTTGCAGGCTCCCTGTTTACAAACTCACCACACCTTCTTTGTGACTACAAAGAAGTTTTTGCTACAGTCACAGAAATTGTAGATCTTCTGGCAGCCTTAGCATATTTCTAAAAGCCATTGCATGCTCTTTTCTCAGTGTGTAGGCCCCACTGTGAGGTGATTTTCAGGATCTATTGAGCCCTAATTAAATATGTGCTATGTTGAGGCCTCATAAATCATATGTAACAGAAAAAGGCCTTTGAAATCTACTTTTCACATTGTTGTATAATTTTGTCATTTGTAAGAAGTTCTAGTGAACAAAAGTCTTTTGCTTTCCTTAAATTCTTATATTATCTTTTTTTGTTAAAGTAAATGAGATTGGGTTAGATGTACAATGCCATCCTGCTTCATTATTTAAAAAGGTAAGGGCATGTCATTTACCACATTGTCTTCCTCAAAAGATATGTTAGAGACTTTTGGCACTTCAAAAGCAAACCAGGATCAGGTCTGTTCCTCACTGTGAGGAAAGTGTCCCTATTCATACCAATGCCAGCTCTTCAATTCTGAGTGTACTGTCCACCACGAGGCCAACAACTGATGATGTGGGGGCTGCATTTAGACTGTACTTAGATTTGTTTGACTTTCACGCTGATTTAAAATGTCTTTTGAATATCTTTAGGCAGAACCAAAGAACATAACTTTACTTCACCACAGCCCCTATGATTCTAGCTGTGTACACACACCAGCCCCAAGGAACTCATTTATACTGCCTGCCAGCTCCACATGGCTGTTTGAGTTTGTGATTTCTGATCTAAAGAATTAAAGTTTTCACTGGGGTTAAACCAAACACACACATACACAGAGTACAAGTGGGAAGAGGAATTCCAACTGATGCAAAACCACTATCTATTATAAACTAATAAATCCCTAATTCTTGACCAGGTAAATCAAGGCCAATGTGAAATTGCCATACACTAATTGATGGCTAAATCACAACCTTCCTTTTCTTTCTTTTTCTCTTTTCTTTTCCATTTGCAGTATTTATACACAGTTATAAAAATTGTGCATGTTATCAGTACTATGTACTGAAATTGTGGAAAGGCTAAACCAAGCTAATTGACATATGCATTACCTCATACACTCATCTGCTTTTCTGTATGATGAGAACCTTTAAATCCACCATCTTAGCAGCAGGAATATAACACTTTGTTATTATGGATAAGTCACCATGTTGTACAATAGATCTCTTGGACTTGTTTCTCCTGTGTCACTGAAGTTTTGTGTCATTTGATCAGCATCTGCCCAAGCCCTTTGACTCCCTATCTCCTCTGCCCCTTCTTCTCTGATCTTCATTTTCATTTGGATGTTTTTCAGGATAATGAAGACAGCACAAAAATATCCTAAATCTAAAACTTTCCATCAAGCTCTATCTCCTTTTCGGACATACAGTCGGATCAGGCCATTTTTATGGACGTCTACCTAAGAAATTAGGAAGAACACAAATTTTGAGTTAGTAACTCTGGCCAAAAAAATACAACCAAGTTACTGTGAAGACTTTTTGGCCAGTGCTTCTGCCATTGTTTTTTCCTCTGCAATTTGGCCTTCTTCAATCAAGCCAGAAAAAATTTTAGGACAAAAGTCAGACAATTTCAAATCTTTCTCACTTTGAGCCAATCACAGTTACTGTGCAGTACGTGTGCTGAAGAGGAAGCCTTTTTCACTTTTACTTTCTTGAATTGTCTTAAACAAAGTGCTATAACTACACACTTTTTAAGGTCTTAAATAAAAGGAAAACAAAATGAAAATTATGGAAAATATATTTTTTGCAGTAAAGAGGCTCTATAGATTGTCCTTATTTTAATTGCATGCAAATAGAATGAGAAGTGGGACTGCTCAGGAGCTCTAGTTGAAGGCCTCTGGCAACCTGAGAACAACACAGCCCCAGCACAGTGACCTGATGAACCCCTCATTGTAACTCTCATGCTGGGAAACAGCGGTGAAACCTCTCCAGCAGACCAACCTGCATCTATCTATCCTGGGTTTAAGACACTAATGGACACTTCCATGGGCTGGGTGTGGTCACAACACAGGCCGCGCAGCATCTCCAGCCCATGAAAACAAGAAAATGAGATTGTCAACCATTGGTAGAGACGGACACAAGAATGGAAAATGGAAGTTGCCTTTAGGAATGGTTATCCCATCAAGATGTAACAAAATGCAAGCCAAAAGATCAGAGACAAGAAGAGTGTGTATGTGTGTTCAAAAATGTCTCTGACTATGGAAGCCCACACTTTTCTGTACAGATAATGCTATTTGAAGTAACTTTGAAACTTTGCTACCCAGAAACAAACTGCAACCTCAGAGGTCCTGCTTCCTTGTCACGTTTTGCCTGAGCATGTGCAAAGCCTTTCTTTTGCTCCAAACTGAACTACCTTTATTTGTTGTTAGTTGACAAGAAAGGTCAAACACAATTAGGTGTTGTGACTTTTCACCGTACAAACATTTCGATGATGGTGAGCATCAGTGAATTTGTCTTTGTGAAAGGCAGAATGGAAAAATATCAAGAGTAGCCATCAATTAAATGAGGTGAAGGAAGATGCGCCCATCCTATCAGGTTTTCTGTTGCACCTGCTTGTCTTCTTGGGTTTCACAATGCTAAGCAATATTTTAGTAATGAAGCTGACGCTGTTAAGCCTAAGTAGTGAGATTTTGCCACTCACAACTTGGATCTCCTTTCATGTGTAAGCCATATTCTATATGCATATTTAGTATGCATCATTGTAATTTAAGATGTGTAGACTGTATAAAAATGCTTTTAAGTGTTTTGTGAATAAGGTCCTCAGCTTTACTTTTACCTGAATCTTGCACAGAACACAGCTAAATAATTGAATTGTATCATAGGCATTACAATGCAATTGATATTTTAAATGTAAGCAGTAAAGATTGATCTATAATAATGTGCTGGGGAAACGTTTATAGATATGTACATCATGGTGACTATCGGTTCTTTAAAAATGTTCCTTTCATTTCTATTTATGGAGAAACTATAAGTACTGCTTTAAATGCCTTTTAAGATGAGCTATTTACCATCTAGAAAATATTCTGCATTTAAACTAGAATCTGACTATCTGGGAAGTCTAATCATTGTTGTTCCTATTTGAGCCAATTGTCTTTCAGTAAAGCTACCGAATCTCTCAAGAGAGAGGTGAATTGAAACACTGCTTCTCCAATGTCATAGGAAACATAGCCACTTGCTTTCTCTTAACACTTTTAAGACTTGTACACTCTGTTATTAAGGAATAGGAGAATACAAAGAATTCATCAGTTTCTGTATATCAGCTTTAACCTAATTTTCCAGGTTATGCGACTTACAACGCACTGTGACCAAACTTCCAGAGGGAGTGGAGAGAGATGCTTTGTTTCTTCAGAAGAGTTGTCACGCTGCTTGCTGTTCTTACTACATTCTCAATCTCCCTCCTTCCCTCTCTCTCTATCCCCTGCATTTCCTACTCCTCTCCTTTTTTTCCTTCAATCTTTCATATTTCTTCTCTATCTCTGAGATGCTGCTACTTAGCACTAATTGGTAGGAAGTCAGAGTGGAGTTTATCTGCACCCCTCTCTTCTGGAATCATCAATGCTGAGCCCATTCTGGAGAGGGGGATTGATGCGTCAGGCTGCTGCACTTTGAATGTCCCGTTTGGCATTTGTATCCTCAGCTGCCCGGCATAGACATCTTGCAAGTTCATATGCCTTTTCATTTAACAAGAACCTCTTTTATTTAATTTTTAACATGACATCTACAATTCTTGTGTTTTTATTATGCTACAATTCTCTGTATTTCCTATTATATATAGTTGCTAAATAAATCATATTTGAGAGACAATATTGTGAAACACTTGGTGTTTAATGTAATCCCGTTTGGTGGGGCTTCAGATGTTGGATAAATTGAGGAAAACCTGAAGTAGACCAATTCAAAAACTGATATAGCTTTGTCAGAAAGTGATTTTTGCACAACTAGAGAAATATACATTGAACACCTACTATTTGAAAGCTCCTGACTAGAAGCATGGTGCATATATGAATATGGAAACCTAAATGGTTTCACTAGAAACATCAAGTATTATTGAGGAGATAATCTATGCACATTGTAATATATACATAGTAACTCGAACATCTAAAAGGAATAAGATGCAAGCTGGGTGTGTTGACACGTGCCTGTGGTCCTAACTACTCGGGGTGCTGAGGTGGGAGTCTGAGGCTGCAATGCATTATGATAGCGCCTGTGAATAGCCACTGCAATCCCAATCTAGACAACCCAGCAAGACCTCATCTATATGAAAAGGAAAAAAGAAGAAAGTAACCACATCCGAGTGAAACGTAGCTGCACGTATTAGAAGAGGTAAAAACTGCTTCCATTTTTAGAAATTCCAAGAAAACGTGAGTCGATGCCCAAATAATAAATAATAACAAAAGTTTATAATCACTATCTGTTTTCCACATGCAGCATCCCTGTAATATTTAACAAATAATATTTCCAGCCGAGCACAGTAGCTCACACCTGTGATCCTACCACTCTGGGAGGCTGAGGCAGGTGGATTGCTTTAGCTCAGGAGTTCAAGACCAGCCTGAACAAAAGTGAGACTCCATTTCTACTAAAAAAAAAAAAAAAATGGTAGAGGTAGGTGGCACCTATGGCTCAAAGGAGTAGGATGCCGGCCCCATATGCCAGAGGTGGGTTCAAACCCAGCCCCAGCCAAAAACTGCAAAAGAAAAAAAAAGTTAAGGCAGAAGAATCACTTGAGCACAAGAGTTTGAAGTTGCTATGAGTTATGCTACCACAACATTCTACCAGGGCAACAGAGTGAAACTTCGTCTCAAAAAACAAAAACAAAACAAATAATACCTCTATTCCAGCAAAGGGGTATCAAGATGAGTAAAGCAAAATGAATCTCAGAGAGAGAGTTCTCCATTGGCAGTCTCCACACAGAGCCTTCCCTCAGATCTATCCACAAACATCAAGGAATCAAAGTCAGAGGTTCAAGCTACTGGGTCTTTTAATGAGGTATAAATAGCTGTATTCATGCAATGTGGTTAATCAGATGAACAAACAGAGGAGGACCCATGAGACATTGGGAAAAGATGTTACACGTTACATGTGTGAGTTGATCAGTCAGCTTTCAGAGCAAAAACCCCTAGAAAGCAAAAGCCTTTGTGAAATGCATCAACAGTGAATTTATCCTGTTATTTTTTCCTGTCAAGTAGTGAACTAAACAGTATACAAAGGCCAAACTTTAACAGTGAGAAACTGGGTGGCACCTGTGGCTCAAAGAGTAGGGCGCTCTTTTTCTTCCATTCTTGAGATACTTTGCTAAGAAGAATATTTTCCAGCTCCATCCATGTAAACATGAAGGAGGTAAAGCCTCCATCCTTCTTTAGGGATGCATAGTATTGCATGGTGTACATATACCACAATTTATTGATCCATTCGTGGGTCAATGGGCACTGGGGCTTCTTCCAGCCCAATTTATAACTGCTAGGTCTTTTGGGCTGCAATAAACATTCAGGTGTAAATATCTTTATTATAATGTGATTTTTGGTCTTTTGGATATGTACCTAGTAGAGGAATTATAGGATAAAATGGCAGGTCTATTTTTAGTTCTCTAAGTGTTCTCCAGATGTCTTTCCAAAAGGAATGTAGTAGTTTGCAATCTCACCAGCAGTATAGAAGTGTTCCCTTTTCTCCACATCCACACCAGCATCTCTGATTTTGGGACTTTGTGATATGGGCTAATCTTACTGGTATTAGATGATAGTTCAAACTAGTTTGGATTTGCATTTCTCTGATGATGAAGGATGGTGAGCATTTTTTCATATGTTTGTAGGCCATGCACCTGTCTTCTTCAAAGAAGGTTCTCTTCAAGTCCCTTGCCCACCCTCAGATGGGATGACTTGTTCTCTTCTTGCTAATACATTTGAGTTCTCTGTGGATTCTAGTTATTAAACCTTCATTGGAAACATAACCAGCAAATATCTTCTCCCATTTTGAGGGCTGTCTACTTGCTTTACTTACTGTGCTTTTGGCTGTGCAGAAGGTTTTTAATTTGATAAGGTCCCAGTAGTGTATTTTTGATGTTGCTTCAATTGCCCAGGGAGTCCTCTTCATAAAATTTTCACCCAGGCCGATTTCTTCAAGTGTTTTCCCTATACTTTCTTCTAGTATTGTTATAGTTTCATGTCTTAAGTTTAAATCTTTAATCCAGTGAGAGTCAATCTTAGTTAGTGGCGAAAAGTGTGGATCCAGTTTCAGTCTTCTACAGGTCGCCAGCCAGTTCATCCAGCACCATTTGTTAAATAGGGAGTCTTTTCCCCCACTCAATGTTTTTAATTGGCTTGTCAAAGATCAGATAACAGTAAGTAGCTGGGTTCATCTCTTGGTTCTCTATTCTGTTTCATACATCTACCACTCTTTTCTTGTGCCAATACCATGCTATTTTGATTGCTATGGATTTATAGTTTAGTCTGAAGTCTGGTAGTGTGATTCCTCCTGCTTTGTTTTTATTTCTGAGTAATGTCT